GGTGAGGAGAGAGTGAGGGGTTTATATAGCTTGAGAATGACGGTTATGACGGATGGAAAGGTTGGTAAAACCCACCAACCGTCATTGGGTAGTCATCTCAGCCGTCCCTCCAATCCCTGGATCAAACGGCCAAGAGGAGGGTTCAGCTGAACCCGAACCTGGGGCTGGCCCAACCAGCCCACAGTTCGGCTGGCGACCTCCTCTCCTGATCCTTGTTGCAGACTTGTGAATTTTTGCCCAATTCGTCGTGTCAATTCTGAGTTCTTGGCTCTTTCATACATAAGTCTGATTCTCGACATCGTCCGATTGATTTATCGTCTGATTTGATATCGATTCTCCTCCACTTTATGATTATTGTCTGCAAAAGGTTAGTGAACCAAACACTAGTGGAATATTATTATTTTAACACAAATATGCATTGCAAGTATAACTAGTTCTCCTCTATTTAGTTAATATTGACGGTCGAAACTGATCGCTAACGACCGTCAACAAAACCCCCCAAGTTTGAACCTTTGCTTGTCCCCCAGTTCGGGTATGGCTCTAGTAGCTCTCCTATTCTCTTTTATGAGCTTTGTACTTTATTTAGAATACTCTTCTTTATAAATTTCTGGTATTGAAATACTTTCCGAGTATATGAATGCCAACTTTACTTTATGTTCGTGTTATACTGATTCTACTGCTAGCTTATCTGGGAGATGCATAGGTACGGGTATAATGTTTGCTTATGCAATAACTCTATGTCATGACGATGATATAAGAGTAATATCTGGTAGTTTAGGCGTGGTATCTAGATTATTGGATATCATTATTTGGGGTTATATGCTGCGGATGAGAGGTGGGCCGCTGATGATGACAGCTCAGTACGGGTATTCCTCCGCGCGTGTATATAGTCTTAAGTTAATTTCCTGGGGAGGGTACGCCTCCGTATTTAAGCCCGGTTGTATGGTCATGACAGGCCGTCGTAAGAAACTCGGCAGTCAGGGGTGGCTTCTCGAAGTACTAGGAGGGCATCGGAAAGAGGGTATTAGCTAGTTAATCTTATAACTAGAATGTATGTATACTAGAAGTATAGGAACTTTTCTGTTTTCTTTCCACTTAGCTTAGATAATTTAGTATGAGAATGAGTAGCTCTATGCTTGTGTGTCACTCTACCCTATGGATTATATTAACCCCTGCTTAGACTATGATTATTACAAGTAACATATAAATTATTAGTACGGTTCTCTCTACTATGATCCCTACTATATTAAATAAATACGATACCCTTGGAATACTCTCGGGTGAAATGCTACAATGGTATATCCATGCGCTTGCGGATGAACTCTGTAACCATAATATACCAGGAGTATTTCTGCGCCATTGCTGGGAATTATATTTCTAGTAATGTCGTTAAGAAATACCAACAAATTGCTTGATGAATATGAAAGTGTCACTATGTGAAATCATAATATGGCGGGGTTCCGAAGACAAACAAACGAGTGGTTTAGCCTACATGCGCGCTGCATGCAAGTAGCAAGTTGCTAACTCTAATCAACAAAATCCGATTGTTCTTGGCGGCGGCTAAAGGTATAAGAAGAGGAGGAGAATGGTCACAGGAGTGTTGGGGTCGTGCTCTAACCATAGAATGTGTCCCTACTGGACCCAACTTGATACACAACCCCTTGGGCCCAAATAAGGTGATTGTGGCCACTCCAGAACAGATATTGGACATGAGGTTGGATCTATTTGAAAGTATACTTGCTAAGCTTTCCATGAAGTTCTTGCACGCCCAAATCGGAGTTCGCATGAAGTCGTGGCGGTCGTCACAAGTTGACGCTATCTTGCAGTCTGAATCCAACCTGCGTGAATCCTCTCCCTTTTTGATCCTCTCCATTATTCCTAAGTAAAATAAGAGTGCACGTGTCTCTGGGTATAAATAAGATGAACATAAACTTAAGAATGAGCTCACCTGATTGTTCAGTTGACGTGCACGAGCACAGGTAATAGGACCATGAAATTGTACTGGTAGAGATGTGCATGTATCTGTCGGAGATATGGGCCCGGGGGTATGTGAAGTAGAGGGGAGTTACTTTCCCTCCGGCCACGTGACCCTGCAAGTTGGCCCCACTCACGCGTCACGCGAGTCGTGAAAGCGGCGTGGGGGGGGGGGGGGGTGGGCCTCGGGGTATGGCGTCACCCCCTCGGGCTCTCCCACAGCTTCGCCCCGAGGCCCTCGCCCGGCTGCCACGCGGCGGAGGGAGAGAGCTAGAGGGGAGCTCAGGCTGAACAGCCATAAATGTGCGACACCCTAACTGTCCCTCACCGCATTAAATGCGGTAAGGGCAGACGTGCGGCGCGCCTAGCTGACTCCTGTCCATCGGATGTGACCGGTCTGTGACGAGCCTGTTACCGTCACATCCGATGGACAGGGCAATCATGTCCTCACGTCGCCTCTGTACCCGGCGGAGTGGGGGTGGGTATGACCCGTCACATCCGAGCGTCACACGAGGAAGGGCTGTCGCAAGTCATCGCTCATTTATGAGGGAATGACAGGGCTGTCCCCCGTGTCATGCGGGGGGCGGTGCCGGGTTCCACTCGAGAACCGGTTGTTGCTTAGCTTCCGGGAGAAGGCACGGGTTGAAGCCCAGTAAAAGTGGAGTGGGATCCCCCTCCTATGGAGGGTAGGTAGAGGCGGCGCATGTGGTATCCCCTTGAGCTATAAAAGGAGGACCGGGCCCACTGAGACGGGGGGACGACGCCCAGAAAACCTGAACTCCAGAAGAAAGAAAGCGAGTGCGCTCTCTGGAGTGAAGAAAACCTTTTTAAAACTCATCCATAATCCCAAACACAAGAGTAGGGTGTTACGCTCCATAGCGGCCCGAACCTGTATAATCCGACTGTGTGCAAGCTTGTCAGTAGTCTTAGGGACGAGCGAGTGATTTCCAAGAGACGAGCCTCTGCCCCCGGCCGAACTCATGAGAAAGGGGGTCTCACGACTCCCCGCTATTGAGGATCTTCCCTCGACAGCTGGCGCGCCAGGTAGGGGGCGGTTGCGCGTTTCGAGAGGAAATCGCTTTCTTCCGTCCCTAGTTTCTCCAGGCCTTAGCTGACCATGGTCGAGGTCCTGGAAGTAGAGGAGGAGGCGGTGGCGTTTACCCCCACCCAGTCCGGGAGTGGGGATTCCGGTGAAAGCCGTGGTCCTCGTCTCTGTCGCCATGGTTCTCCAACTCCTCTCCGCCGTGAACCTTCGCGGAGGGAGGATCCCACTCGTTCGGGTGGTTCGGCTCTCTCTCCGCCCCCTGGCGGAGGGAGGCTGCGACGCATCGGGGCACGCCGCTGTCTCGACTATGGAGACGGCGGTTCGCCCCAAGGCGCGCTCCAAGCAGCGGGCGCCCTTCTGCGGCATCCCCCGGTAAACCCGCAGCCGGAGACTCCTGTTCAGCGCTGGCTGGACGACGTGGCCAACCTGGTCACTGCTGCCCAGCGGCAGTTGGCCACGGGTGGTCGATCCACCGCCACTGGTACGTCGCGTACCTCGGTCACCCTCTCCTCATCGGCGAGGAGAAGGGCCCGCCGATCGGCCACGATCTTGAGGCGATCCACGGTTCCAACATCGTCGGGGGCCTCGGGAAGCCGGAGGCGTCATGACGGCCTCTACGGGACGCAGGACGCTCGAATCAACATCGAGCGACGCCGGGACGAGCGCCGAGCTGCCCGCATGGGGGAAGGCGCCTCCTCATCTGGAGCGCCGCGCTCCTCTTCACAAGGCGGCCCTCCCCCCCACACTCACCCCTGGGGGGATGGGTTGTAGGGCCTTCGTGGCGAGTCTCCGGAATGTCCGGTGGCCCCCGAAGTTTCGCCCCAACCTTACGGAGAAGTATGATGGTAGCATCAATCCCTCCGAGTTCCTCCAAATCTACACCACGATTATCGTGGCGGCAAGGGGTGACGACCGGGTCATGGCGAATTACTTTCCCATGGCCCTCAAGGGTCAGGCGCGCAGCTGGTTGATGACCCAACCCCCCGACTCCATTCACTCCTAGGAGGATCTGTGCCAGCAGTTCATTACGAACTTCCAAGGCACATATCCCCGCCCAGGGGAAGAGGCGGACCTACGTGCTGTACAGCGGAAGGATGACGAGTCCCTCTGTTCGTACATACAGCGCTTCTATCAGGTCCGCAACACTATTCCGTGCATTCCAGCTCATGCGGTTGTATATGCATTCCGGAACGGCGTGCGGCATAATCACATGCTGGAGAAGATCGCCTCCAAGGAGCCCAAGACCACCGTCGAGCTCTTCGAGCTGGCGGACAAGGTGGCCCGGAAGGAGGAGGCGTGGGCCTGGAACTCTCCCGGCACCGGTGCGGCGGCCGCGGCTACCCCCGAGTTTGCCCCCCGCTCTAAGCGGCGAGATAGGAGAGGCAAAAGGAAACCAGCCCGCTCTGATGACGAGGGCCATGTCCTTGCAGCAGATGGGCCCACACGGGCCCCGCGCAAAGGAAAGGCCACCGGCGATAAGCCGAGCCCCACCGTTCCCTCCGGCGAGGGCCGGTCAGCGGACAAGTGGTGCTCGGTACACAACACCTACCGCCACAGTCTCGCCGACTGCCGCTCGGTCAAGAATTTGGCCGAGCGGTTCCGAAAGGCTGATGAGGAGAAGCGGCAGGGTCGACAGGAGAGCAAAGCCCCTGCGACCTCAACCAGTGACCGGCGAGAGGAGGCCAAGAACAAGCCCCCCCCCCCCCGATGATGGCGGAGACAGTGAGGATCTGGATTTCCAAATACCTCAGGGGACCGTCGCCACGCTCGACGGGGAGGGGGGGTTGCGCTCACACCTCTCATCGAGGCTTCAAGACCATGAGGCGAGAGCTTCTGGCCGTTGTTCCCACGCACGAGGCGGTCCGGAAGGCGCGCTGGTCGGAGGTGAAGCTCACGTTCGACCAGAGCGAACCATTCGACGGTGCTCGCTCGGGGTGGGAAGTTGGCCCTGGTGGTCTCCCCGACCATCCACAACGTCAAGATGAAGCGTGTGCTGGTGGATTGGGGGGCCAGTCTGAGCATCATCTCCCCGGCAGCCTTTGACGCACTCAAGGCCCCAGGGATGAAGCTCCAGTCGTCGCTCCCAATTATTGGCGTTACTCCGGGGCACACGTGGCCGCTTGGCCACGTAGAGCTCCCGGTAGCCTTCGGCGACTCCACAAACTTCCGCACCGAGCGGATCGACTTCGATGTGGCGGATCTCAATCTGCCCTACAACACAGTTCTGGGCAGGCCTGCGTTGGTGAAGTTCATGGCCGCCACCCACTACGCCTACCTCCAAATGAAGATGTCGGGTCCTGCTGGTCCCATCACCGTCTTTGGTGATGTCAAGGTCGCCATCGCCTGCGCGGAGCAGCGCGCAGACAACCTGGCGGTGGCCACAGGGCCGCAGGCCGCAGAGGCCTCTGCGTCCCACGCCTCCAAGAAGCGCCTCACCTCGGCTGACGAGGTGCCCGTCAAGGAAATCCCCCTTGGCGACGATCCGTCCAAGACCGCCAAGATTGGCAGAACCTTGGACGCCAAATAGGAAGGCGCGCTCGTCTCCTTCCTGCGGGCGAATTCTGACGTTTTCGCATGGAAGCCGTCTGATATGCCCGGGGTCCCCAGGGAGGTGATCGAGCACCGCCTTGCCGTGCGGCCGGATGCGCGACCTGTCCGGCAAAAAGTGCGGCGTCAAGCCCAGGAGCGGCAAGCCTTCATTAGGGAGGAAGTGGCGCGGCTCCTAGAGGCTGATTTCATTCACGAGGTGATCTATCCGGAGTGGCTGGCAAACCCGGTGGTCGTCCCAAAGGCCAATGGCAAGCTACGGATGTGCATCGACTACACCGACCTCAACAAGGCATGCCCTAAAGATCCCTTCCCTCTGCCACGCATAGATCAAATAGTCGACTCCACTGCGTTGTGCGACCTTTTGTGTTTTCTAGATGCATACTCTGGGTACCATCAGATTCGTATGGCTAGGGAAGATGAGGAAAAAACTGCCTTTATTACTCCTGTGGGCACTTTTTGTTATACAACTATGCCTTTTGGATTGAAGAATGCAGGCCCTACTTTTTAGCGCATGACTCTATTACTTTAAGTAATCAGATAGGGCGCAATGTAGAGGCGTATGTCGATGACCCGGTGGTAAAGACGCGCCACCAGGACATGTTGCTACAGGACCTGGCCGAAACTTTCGATAGTCTTATGTCCACGCGCGTAAAGCTGAACCCCGATAAATGTGTGTTCGGCGTGCCGGCGGGCAAGCTTCTCGGTTTTCTAGTCTGTTCCCGAGGCATAGAAGCAAATCCTGAGAAAATACGCGCGATAGAGAGGATGCCCCCCCCCCCCAGCAAGCTTAGGAATGTGTAATGCGTCGCTGGATGCATGGCCGCCCTGAGTCGATTTATATCGAGGCTGGGTGAGAGGGCGCTGCCCCTATTCAAGCTCCTCAAGCACTCCGGGCCGTTTGTATGGACGGAGGAAGCTGAGCAAGCTCTCAATCAGCTGAAAGCTTACCTCACTTCCCCCCCATCTTGGTAGTCCCGGGACCGGAGGAACCATTGCTACTCTACTTGGCCGCGACCCCCCATGTGGTGAGTGCCGCCCTATGATGGACCCTGAGTTCCTCTCGACACTCAAGGCTGTTGTTGGCCCGATCTTTCGGTGAGTTGTGATAACTACGATTTGGGAGAAACGTTGACGATCCGACTACAACCGTACGAGACGTTGTGTTGCGCCTTAGCGATCGATACACCTCTCCGTGGGTTGTTGATCTTGCCGGTGCAGATCAACCCTATTCCTGCAAGCAAATCGAAGAAACAAGCAAGAACAAGATAAAAGCAATCTGATATTGCAAATAGGAATTTAATACAAATGATAAGTTGGGGTTCCGAAGAACAAGCAGACGGACGGTCTAACCGACACGCGCGCTGCAAGCAAGTAGCAATGGCTAAACTTTAATCTAACAAAACCCCGGAAACCCTGAAGGGGTACCTAACTATTTATAGAGGTGGGAGGACGACCAAGAGGGTCCAAGGGTCGTGCTCCACCAGATTGGGGCGCACCCCACATGGGCCCCACATGGGCCAGGGTCCCAAACAAAGTTACAAGCCCATTGGCCCAATACAGGAGACGCAGCACCTTGCTTTTGTGATTGCGGCCAAACGAGATAGATTTCCGAGATGAGGCTGGATCCGTTGGAAGGAGGACTTCGAGAGCTTTCCATCAAGTACTCACGGGCCCAAAACGGAGCACGTATGTAGATTTGGCGGCCGTTTGAAGTCAGCAATGTAACACGTGGCCGAATCAGATTGCAGCACATGGAGGACTTGATCTTGATGTCTTCTTGTTGATTCATGATGTGAGCAATGGTCGTATCCATAGTAGCCATGGTCACATCATCCTCCCCTTCTTCACAGAAAACCGTCCTCGGTTTTTCCATATGGTGCTCTTCGCGCAGTCCACTGAACACAACCTGTTTCTTGCAATCAAAACAAGACAAACTCGAGACAATATGATTAGCAGTAACATGTCTCTCTAGCTTGCATATTTTATCCAGAACTACAAGATGTTCTAAATCTGAACAAATGTAAACTCTATGCACCAAAAATATTCCTCTATCATTATATTCGCCAAAGATATGAAAAATAGCATTAGTTGGACATGGCAAATCAGATTTAGCAAATAATTTCTCCTTCAAATTATCGAGCTCACAAAAATCATCAAACTGAACATAGCCCAAAGTATTTAAAGAAGATAGCAATTCGCGTTCCTCTACTTCATTAGCAATGTGAACAACATGCTTAGAATCAGCACACAAAGAAATAGTAGAACTAACATGTTCATTCACTAGTTGTGGCATGGATATAAGTGAAACATTATCACACAACTCTTCTTTATCACAAGAAACAGCAAGTAAATCAACTTGTGACAAAGGCAACTCAGTAATTGATTCCACTAATGGTTGCTCTACTATAGCATGAAAAGTGGACAAGTGTAGCTCACCTTGAGAATACTCACCTTCATTTCTCTCAGCACCATTTAATTTACCTTGCGAACTTTCTTCAGATAATGTAGCTGCATCAGCCTTCTCCTCATTCGCGAGTGATGGAAGTGACATCTCAAACATATCGTTCTTCTCATTTTGGAGACTTTTCTGAACTTCCTGCAAAACATCAGTGATAGGAGGCACAAGCATATCTTGTTGCTCCGTTGGATTCTCCAAAATTTTGCGCTCAACAATGCAAGCAAGCATGAACAATTGGCCTATATGATTATATGTCACATTAACAAGCCCAGCCTGAATATTGAAATTAAGCCCTCTGAAAAATCTAGTCATTGTGTTCTCATTAGATTCTTGTAAACCACTATAAGTGATACAAATTTTAAAATCATGAAAGTACTCCCTAACAGTTTTGTCACCTTGTTTTAGATGTTCCCATTTCTCAAGGAGAGCACATCTATAGTATGAAAACACAAATCTTTTTCTCATCAGTATTTTGCATTCATCCCAAGTTTCAAGCTTATTCCCCACAGTATGCCACCAAAAAGATGCAGAACCGGTACACTTATTACTAGCAGCCTTAATCATTTGAGCATTAGAAAAATCATACTCATCAAATTGTTTTTCTACTGCTAGCTCCCAATTAATGTATGCAGCGGAATCATACTTTCCATCATAGACTGGTAACTTACATGCAACTTGTGCAAAATTATAGTCATGTACCTCATATGCATCACGTGAAGAAGTCGTCATATCTCGTCGAAGGTGTAGATGTTGACGTTGAGCATGACCATCTTGTTTCCCCTTGCGCAATCCTGCCATGGTTAGCAGCAAACAAGAAACATACACAAGAATATACACGCTCCTATCAACTACTAGGTACTGGCAGCTCAAATGTCACACACACTCAAGCTTTTAACCAAGCTCTTACAAGATCTTACCAATGCAAGTGGAATGGTGATGTACACCGACTCAACCAAGCACCCCAATAGAGGTTGGATATATCGATGCCTCGGCAAACACTTGCTGTACGGCTGCAATCAAATCTGTGGAGCTCTGGGTAGGCTTAAATATGTAGCAAAGGAATAGCAAATGCTCAAATCAGATAATGCAAAGTTGAATAATTATAGTCATGAACCCTGAGTTCCTCTCGACACTCAAGGCTGTTGTTGGCCCGATCTTTCGGTGAGTTGTGATAACTACGATTTGGGAGAAACGTTGACGATCCGACTACAACCGTACGAGACGTTGTGTTGCGCCTTAGCGATCGATACACCTCTCCGTGGGTTGTTGATCTTGCCGGTGCAGATCAACCCTATTCCTGTAAGCAAATCGAAGAAACAAGCAAGAACAAGATAAAAGTAATCTGATATTGCAAATAGGAATTTAATACAAATGATAAGTTGGGGTTCCGAAGAACAAGCAGACGGACGGTCTAGCCGACACGCGCGCTGCAAGCAAGTAGCAATGGCTAAACTTTAATCTAACAAAACCCGAGAAACCCTGAAGGGGTAACTAGCTATATATAGGGGTGGGAGGACGACCTAGGGGTGCCTAGGGTCGTGCTCCACCAGTTGGGGCGCACCCCACATGGGCCCCACCTGGGCCGGGGTCCCAAATGAAGTTACAAGCCCATAGGCCCATTACAGGTGTCGCAGCACCTTGTTTCTTCAGTTGCTGCCGACTGAGATGGAATTTGGCAACGAGGCTTGATGCATTGGAAAGAGGACTCCGAGAGCTTTCCATCAAGTACTCACGGGCCAAAAACGGAGGTCGTATGGAGCTTCGGCGGCCGTTTGAAGTCAGCAGTGTAGCAGGTGGCCGAATTGGATTTTGGCACTTGGAGGACTCGAACTTGATATCTTGTTGTTCATCCATGATGTGAGCAACGGATGTATCCGTAGTAGCCATGGTCATATCATCCTCCCCTTCTTCACGGAAAACCGTCCTCGGTTTTTCCATATGGTGTTCTTTATATAGTCCATTCAAAATAACCTGTTTCATCCAATCAAAACTAGAGAAACTCGAAGTAGTGTGATTAGCAATAACATGTTTCTCTAAATCCGAACAAATGAAAACTCTATGCACCAAATATATTCCTCTATCATTATATTTGCCAAAGATATGAAAAATAGCATTAGTTGGACATGGCAAATCAGACTTAGAAAATAATTTCTCCTTCAAATTATCGAGCTCACAAAAATCATTAAACTGAACATAGCCCAAAGTATTTAAAGAAGATAGCAATTTACGTTCCTCAACTTCATTAGCAATGTGAACAGCATGCTTAAAATCAGCACACAAAGAAACACTAGGAATAGCATGTTCATTCACTAGTTGTGGCATGGATATAAGTGAAGCATTATCACACAACTCTTCTTTATCACAAGGAACAGCGAGTAAATCAACTTGTGACAAAGGAATTCCAGCATTTGGTTCCACTAACGGTTGCTCTACTTTTGCATGAAAAGTGGACAAATTTACTTCGTTAACAATGCACTCACCTTGATTAATTTCAGTATCATTTACTTTACCTTGGATGT